AAATAAATCTCCTGTTCTTTAATATGATAGCCTTTGGGCCACATATAGTCTTCAGAAATATTTTGCAAGGCTCACATACTGTTTTACAAAATTAGAATCAAACGTCATTCGACTGGCCATGCCCTATTCAGTTTTCTGCTGACCCCAGCAATCTCTATTGTATGGACTTGCCTCCCATCCCTTCTTTCTGTTACCTGCCGCTCCCGCAGGCATTGGTGATGGCGCTGCCTTCCTTCCCAGCCCCCGCTGCAGCCCCTCTCCCCTTCTTTCTCTGACCACAATAGCCTTCTTTCAGTTTCTTCAGACCTCTGAGCACCTTCTCACCTCAGCGTAAAACACAGACTCTACGGGACAGGTGCCAGTGTTTCCTCTCTTTGCATTGCCTTTTCCTCTTTTTACACCCCTGTCTTATCCTTGTACCCTTCAGGACTCACATTCAAGGCCGCTGCCTTAGCGGAGCCGTCCCTCACACCCAAGTTCAGTCACCCTGGATCCGTGATTTCCTTTCTTCTCTCTCATGGCACTTTTCTCACTTGTATCAACTCTTACGTTGTCAATCTAAAATTTGTATATTTTTCACATTTTACACTTTCTGAGCCTGGAAGATATCTTACCATGAACGGTGACTTATAATTAATGATATGGCTTGCCATTAATGGAATTTTAGATTTGACGAAACTGAATAAATATTGATTTGTAAAAACAGCTGTTTACTGTCTGTCTCTCTCACTAGAGTTTAAGTGGCCCAAGGACAGGGGCTGTGGCTTTCTTGTTCCATCTGTATCCGCAGCACCTCGCACAGTGTCAGGCGTGTAGCAGCCGCTCAGAAACTACCTGTGGATTGAATGAATGGCCAGGCGAGTGAAGCAGAACTTTGTTTTATAGATCCTAAATTTGCCTCTCATTGTTTTAACTTCCCAGGATTTGATGAGTTTATGTTCATTCTTACTATATCTTTTAGGGCTTTAAGGGTTTGTCCTCTTCCCATTAATATTTGTTTTGTAGAATGAAGAGAATTTACTAGCGTGGTATGTCTTTAGGTAGAAACCGCTTCATCTTTTTGATCATTTTCGTCAGTCATCGCTGGGCCTTTGCAGTTATCTGGACTGTCTTCAGGTAGGGTGAGATAGTGTGTCTGAATTCATTTTCTATTTTCTTTCTGATAATTCCATGAATTTTGTTAATGCTTTTTTGATTGTTGTTATAAGTCAGGCTGGTTTTTAGAAAGAATAATCTTCTGTGTCTTTTAGGTCCTGCTTTAAAAAATTATACTTTGTAGACCTCTGGGGTTCCTTGGAAGTTTGCTAGAGCTCTGCAGGACAGCTTAGAGAGCAAAAAAAAAAAATTACTTATTCCTATCCTTACTTATTCTTCTCTGTAAATTGTATATTCATTTCATTCAGTAGGATTGCATTTATTCACACGTATAATGACGGATCACGCCAGAGTAGACTACAGAGTGCAGGCATTGCTATCTGCATCTCAAACAAACAAACAAAAAAGTTACAAACAAACATTTGTATTGGGGAGTCCCAGAGAAGAAATAATAAGACAGAAGATAATTTCATTTCAAATCTTACTGCCTAAATACTACTATTACTACCATTAACTCAGGTCCCATATATCCTAGATTATTATAAAAACTGGTCTAAATTTTTCTTTATTACCATTTTGACATTGATCATTAAACCTAACAAAAATTCATTGGCCCACAAATTCTTTAGTTTAATATAAAGTTTTTGTGGCCATAACAATTTTTGGAAAATTAACTTATTAGGTCGCTTTCCAGGAGCATAAGTGAGATGTCAGAATTTATCATCTACACTTAGAGTATCATTTCCCCCCAAAGGCATCCTAACCCTCTTCCCCACGGTGGAGCTTTTGGCTGGATTTCCTGCTCTCATGCATGTTGATGACATCTTCATTCCACAGTCTTCCCACTGTGCCTGCCTTCCCGTTAATGTGGCATTTCCCAGTCTGCAAGAGCTTAGTGTTGCCTGAAAGATTGTGGGTTTCCCTGTGCTTTGTCTCTTCCGGATTAGTTACGAATGGGCTAAGCAAGATGAGTTCTACCCTGATCTCTGACAATCCTACTGTTTTTATTTTTTATTAAAAAATGCCAAAATGTGGTAAGACATCCCTCCTTATCTTTCAGTTAATAAAGTCTGTGTTCAAGCACAGATTTTCTGAAAGTCTAAAATGTGTGGACAAATTGCATCTTCATTATATACTTTTGCCCCAGAAATTGAAATTATACATAAATATTTATATATAAAATGTATATATACATATACCTTTATATGTATATATGACATACATTCATGTGAGATAGATATGTTCATGTGAGATGTACTAGCTATAAAATGTCCTTTTTATTTGTGAAATACAGCTTGTGAGCAGAGACAGTATAGGAGTTTGGTCAGAAGAAATTCTCTGGAAGTCAAAAAGCTAAAGCTTCTAGTGCAGCTGTGTGCCCTTAAGTGGATGTATGACCCTTGGCAAGTTATTGGACTTTCTTAGATTTGAGCTGTTTTTATTTATAAATATTTATTTATTTATCACTGATTCTCAACCCCAATTATACATTAGAAGCACTTGGGGAACTTTAAAGAAATGAAGATACCTAGGATCTACCAAATGATTCTGATTTAATTTTCTTAATCCTCACCCAAGGACATGTTCACTGATTTTAGAGAGAAAGAGAAAGAGAAACATCTATGTGAGAGAAATATCAATTGGTTGCTTCCCTTACGTGCCAAAACTGTGGATTGGGCCCACAACTGAGGTATGCTCCCTGACCTGGAATTGAACTGCAGCCTTTTGGTGCATGGGACGATGCTCCAACCAACTGAGCCACCTGGTCAGGGCCTGATTTAATTTTTTAAAAATATCCCCTGTGAGTCTCACATCAGTCAGGGTCAAGAACTGCCAACTAGGAAAACTCTAGGTTCTTTCCAGGCCTCTGAGTCTCTTGCTTTATTTTTTTCTTCTCCAGATGGGATGGGTTGTGCCAACAGAGTGTCATAGACTGAATTATTTCTTTTGTTGGGTTTGTGTGATTACATGTGAGTGTACAGAGAATGCTCTGAGTTGAAGAGTCCTTAGTGGCAGCACATCACCCCCTCTATGTCCCCACATGTGGTGTCTACTTGTCCACTCAGGCACAGAGCCCCTGTGCAATCATGGTCCTCTTCCATACTCTCTTCTAGTTGAGCACGTTGAGTTTTCATGCTACGTAGGAACCTCAGCAGTTGTCTGTGCCTGAAAAGGATAAGAGCTCTCAGTTCATGTGTTTCCTTCCATGTGGCCTTGAACTAATGACCAACAGCCACGGTTTATTTCCCATCACCAATCTCTTTGCCAGTCAACACTTAAAAACTTTTTAGTCTCTAATTTCCTTCTCTTGACCACGCTATTGTCTTTAATCTTTTTGACCCCTGAAATAACCAAAGAATACATTTATTGACACAGTAGATACTATAAAAGGGAGAATAATAATTTTTAAGCACATTAGGTTCTAATCACTTCTGAACATGTGGGTTGACCAGTGAATACACAATATATGTTATTAACACAATAACAACTTTAAAAAAAAGAAAAATAAATTCCAAATATTTTAGGTTTCCCTCCTCAAAAAATGTTTCTTCTAGTTCTTTCCTCCCTCCCCCTATCCCCGTCCCATTTTAGGCTCATCTTCATTCTAGTCTCTTTTCCTTCTATTATAAAAAGATTGGCTATTGTTAATGGTAGGCCCTGTGATGAATACTTTCATTATCTCATTTAAACCTCATAAAAGGGGGTTTAACAAAGAGGAAACCAGGGCTCATAGAGCTCAACATCTATTGAATGGTAAACATGGCATTTACTAAATGTTACCTATGTATTATCTCACTCAACCTTTTGGGTGACTATTTTACATTTTACCAAGGACTAAATGTGGATGTCAGTGTTCCATCCTTGCCCATAGTCACATGCCTAGTAAATAGTGGAGTTAAAATGTTGGCCACTTTAACCATAAAACCATGGTGCTGTTACTTTCAGGATTATTACTACCTCTCTCTTAATTTTGCAGACGGGGAAACTAAGACACAGAGAGATGAACTAACTTGCTTAAGATCACCCAGTTCATAAAAAGCAGAGTTGGGATTTAAACCTAGGTCTTTCTGATTGCAAAGCCAAAGTTGCAAGCACCATAGTTCGTTGCCTTGCATTCTGACTTTATCCATGGCACAATTGTCTAAATCATGCCTCACTCAAGCCTTCCCCGAACACTGATTTTTTTTTTCTTGATGTTTCTGCTCAGAAACAGTCTGCATCTATTTCCTAGGCCCAAAGTCTTTTGTTTATTCCTTTGGACTTTAAAGGTCCTTCGAGGTCTTGCCCTGCCCGCCCCCTGCCTTATTCCCACAGTGTCGAGAACCCATGGCCCTGCTTGGTCAGCCTGTCTCTCTCACCATCTCACCAGCGTGCCAGACTTCTGTCTCCAGGTGTCTTCCTTAGTTCCATCATCTTTTCAGCCAGTTTTTCTTGAAGAGCGGTGCTGTGTTGGCAAGGTCTGGTGGAAGGCCTCAATCTACCTTCCCTACACTGTTCAAGGCCACCCTCTCTGGGCAGCCGCTGCTGTTCTTGTCCCCTCTCTCTTGCTGTGCCTCCCATCTGAACTCCCTCCAAACCCAGGGTGCAGTGTGCAGTGTGCAGCCACCTTATGGAGTCCATATGTCTAAAGTCATAAGCGATCTCTGTGAGGGTGGCCAAGACCTTGTACGAACAATCCCCAGCATACAGTAGTTGCATAATAATAGGCATTGAATGAGTCATTAAGTTGTGATAACAGTGCTTCCCCCCAAATCAAATTGTCTGTTATTATGTTAATCCTGAGTGCAGAAAAACAAAGTTTCAAAATGTTGATTTATAAGAAATTTTTTTTAAAAGTGCATGTTAATTGTGTTTATTTTAAGGGCCAGTAAAACTGAACTTCTCCAACTCTGTTGTTCTCCCAGTAAATGTCCCCTCCACGGTAATGGAAGCCATGTGTAGACAGGACGCCCTGCAGCCCTTCAGCAAGAGCAGCAAACTCTCCCCAGCCACTCAGCAGCGCTCCGTCGTTTTCCCACAGACTCCGTGCAGCAGGAACTTCTCTCTCCTGGATAAATCTGGGCCCATTGAGTCAGGATATAATCAAATCAGTGTGAAAAACCAGCGAGTCCTTGCAAGCCCGACTTCCACGAGCCAACTGCACTCGGAGTTCAGTGACTGGCATCTTTGGAAATGCGGGCAGTGCTTTAAGACTTTCACGCAGAGGATCCTGTTGCAGATGCACGTGTGCACGCAGAACCCCGACAGGTAACCATGACTCTTCTGCTCGCAGTATGTTTGCTTAGTGCGACCCACTGCTTGCCTTCCCGACAGGCTCTATCCCTTCCTCCAGCCACCCCTTGGGGCACACACTGTGGTCAGAGGTGTCTGCGTTCTGGAAGGTCATGGCCATGCCTTTATTGTTTAGAAGGGCTGCAGGAACAGTGGTTATTGAGGGGAATCTGCTCTTGCTTTCCACACAGTTTTGTCCAAGCCTAAAGGGGAACACAGTAGAAGGAATAGCTGTGACTATCATAGATGGGAAAGTGAGGTCAGGATAATTAGAATCCTATCTGTCTTCCAAAGATAATATAGCTGGCTGCTCTGCTGCTGTCACAGTCGTTTCAGGGTTCACCTCCGGTGTGCCGTGGTGTGAACTTAATTAAGTACTAAGAGGTAATGAATTGGAATTTTTTGCTTAGTACTATTTTTCTTCAGAGCATGTGAACCCATAAATCCTGCAAAGCTGTCAAAAGGAAATACCTACTCTGCTAGTGATGTGGAGGAAAACAGATGCCACTTATTCAATAAACTAATATCCACACAGAAGAAAAATGTTGACTAGATACCTCAGAGTCAAAGTTGGTTTGAAAGTTTGTCAATAAAGAATTTTATGGCCATGAACTGAGGATGAAATTTAGCTGAACAAGTGAATTAAAATTTCAGGTACTCTGACGAGTGGCATAGTAGATATAATGGAACTATTATTTATGAATCAAAACTGGTTTATTGGACAGTCTTGATAGCTGGGAGCGCCAAAGACAAAAATCAAATTAATTCAGAAAGAAAGGGTTGTGTTTTATCTCTTCTTCACGGCCTATGAAAATTTGATTAAACCCCAAATATCTAAGAATAGCATTGAAAATGCACATTGAATATAAAAGCAGGAAATACTTTTTGGAAGCAGGAAAAGAGACTAGGAAGCAGGACTCCTGAATTATTTTCTTCACTTGGCCACTGGGTTTACCTTAAGCCACTTGGCTCTCCTTGCGCTGTAGTGTGCGTCCAGCTTCACTCTCCCAGCTCGGCAGGCGGTGACCGTACGCTAGGAAACCCAGCAGCGGGGGTGGGGGCGTGGCAGACAGGGAGTGGATGCTCCCTAAATAATAAGAACCACCCATTGTAGGGTCCATAAGCACACTTACCTGTGTACATGTTTTTGTTTGTGCCCTTCTAGAAGCATTGCTGTAACTAATTAGCGTGGAAACATTTGCTTTAGGGCTGGTAAGGCAGTTGTGCCTTTACGATCTTTTACTTTCAATAGGAGAAACCCCAGCCCCGACCCCGGTGAAAATTAGTACTACCAGCTTTAGAGGTGGCACAAAAGTTTTGAAAATGTTTCCTTCACGCAGAAAGGACTTTTTTCCTGAAAGTCTGCCTGCTGTGCAAATATACATATAGCTTCAAGATATATTGATTCAAAATCTGCAAAACATTTTAGTAGTTTAGTATTAACAAGATGCATTAAATCCTGTTATTATAAACTTTTTAAATTGAGTGAGTTCAAATGGATAGATTTGTTATTTGCACAGATTTGTTGTCATAATAACTGAACAGGCAAGGGGAAATGAAATGATAGTTGAAAGTTTCTGGATTTCAAAGCTTAGCTGTGAGTATGATATAATTCCATGCTGAATGTCACATAAAGCAATGAAAACACATCATGATATAGGAAGATACCAAAGCAGACCATTTGGACTCACCCCAGTCAAGCTTAGAAAACCTTACGTGTATCATGGTTTAAGTCCTTATGAAGTCTGTCTTGTCGAATAATAGTGTCCTAACTTGTAACACATCTATGTAAACTGTCAGAGAAGTATACGACAAATTAGGAAACTTACTTGTACAAAATACACTTGCATGAGAGACTGTTAGATCAATGCTCATTCCAAGCTAATTTAGAGTTCTTGGCAAAAGTCTAAGTGGCTTGAGACTCCTTTCCTGTGCTAGACCCCAATGGGCTTCTCTGACTCAGACGTCCAAGCTGAGGGTGGCCAGGCCTTCCCTCTTCAGGTGAGGTGTAGTAATGGGTGCTTGATTTCTTTGTGGATAGCCAGAAAGGGATCCAGTTACTCGGGCATGGGTTCCTGCCTCTCCCTTTCCTGTGCTTTGTTGGTGACATGAGAAGTGGTCACCATTATTCACAAATAAATTAAAATTAAGACTTCAAAAACTTAGTCCCTTCCTAGGCAAAGTGAAAAAGTACAGTGTTCCTTAGTAATGATGAGGAGATGCTTGAGTTACTCCATTACATCTGAGTTGACATCGGAGATAAAGGATAAATAGGAGATGCCCAGTCACTTTGACCCACTAGTTGCATTCTAGGGACATAGTTTGCTTTGAGCATATAGGACTGGAATAATTCTTTTCCATTCCAAAACCTAGAATGTTCCCTTTGTACCAGCAAGTTTGAAAGTAAAAGACACTCTCTTTAATTCTTAACCACATGGGTGCTAAATAAGAGAAATATACAAAACTAAAGTGGAACGTCAAATTTGTGCATGATGGTTGCAAAATTTGGAGCCTTTTCTCTTTTGTCCATGTGAAGAATTGCCACTGCTGAATGTACACCCTTTCTTTAGTGAAGCAGCATAAATCAAGTGGCTTTCAGTCTTTGGCAGTTTGTGCCTATTCAGGCATATACAGTGAAAAAGCTTAGAACTCACAGTCAAAAACCATTTCCCTTTGATTTTGAAAAACTCAAACACTTTTATTTTGATAGGAAAATCTTGCTAGAACCAGAGGTAAGAAAGGGAGACACAGAAGACAAAGTCAGAAGGTAAACAGGTTAGAGTTTCAAACAGATCCAAATTTGAAACAGCCCCCTGAATCTTGGGTCCAAAAGATTTTTCACTCAACAGACTGAATATTTGGCCGTGAAACCTAAGACATTGGAGCCTTCATCAAAGAGACTTTGTGTGTCTATATTTGTGAGCTTTTTCATGTGAGGGACCATCAAAAAATCTATGCCTTCATATAAAGAAAGGAGATCCAAGGGAACCCAGGGTTGCCAGCGTCACTTTTTCTTTTTTCAACTACCACGTTATTTAGATGGAACACAGAAAAAAGATTCCACTTGACCTAGTAAGATAGGAGTTAATGTGAAAGATAAAAATACATCAACGAGGGTCCAAAGAACCACAGAATTGCTATCTCTTGATTTTGTTCTGTTAATATTAACAAACAACTCCCTAAATCTCTTCTTCCTTTTCCTCAGTCAATTGACTTTTTTTTTTCCTAAGTGAATTCGAAGGGAAGAAGCTGTTGGAATCTAGATCAACCAGCATTTTATTTAGGGACTTCATAAACATTTGGGGTTTTGCATAAGCTTATGACCTAACCCAGGGCAGCCTGACTCACTTTTGCTCAAACTAGGAGTTAGAAATCCCTTTTCTCTTCTGTTTTTCTGCTGCAGAAACTCTCAACAGGCACATGCACAGGGGTTGGTGGGTGGGGGGGGGGGGGGCAGCTCCAGAAAGGGGTAAGCAAAGCCTTCAATCATGGTAAATTATTTCCTGATGAATACGTTCTGTTTCATTTTTTGCAGAGTGTCTTTATAATGCTCATCTTCATCTTGCATCCTTTTCCTTTTCTTTTCTCTTTTTTGGTCGGTTGTGCCACGTGGGAAAGTTTGCCTTTAGCCTCCTGGGTGCACCTTAGCTGCTCACATGTGTGTTTTGAATGCCATTGTTTATATATGAATGCACTGGTTCCAGAGGGGAAGATGATTCTGGAAGGTGCTGTTTGGTGGGAGGAGCCTGGAGATAATCCATCATCATAATAGTTTCTTTGGAATGCGTCAGTGTTCTGTGTTCCACTGTCCCTCCTCCCCCAAGTGTGAAGGTTATCTTCTTCCTAGCATTCCATGTTTTCCAGGTCCTTTGGCTCTGCACTTTTGCTGCTTTTGTGAAATCTTTTTTCTCCTTACATAGAATTAAGGTCATTTCTCACTCCACACAGCCAACAGTGACCTAAGGAGGGAATGTGGCCCCAACTGATCAACTTTTGTCCTGGAGGCGCTCATGACCTGAGAAAAATCAAAGACATATTAATAATATTTTAAACCAAACCACACTTAATTTTGTTAAATGTTTCATTCTTATCCTGTGTGTACACCAAACCAATTACAGACTCAAAAGTAAATGAATTGCACATTTTACTGGACTAATCTTTGACAGAGGAGCTGCCAGTTACAGAGAATGCCAGGGGATGAACTGAATTGTCTCACTGCTTTCTGCTTAAAATCTTACAGGGTATACGCTAACTAAATTAACCCAGGCCTTTTCTGTGCTTCAGTTATTTCATTATTGTATATGGAGCACCTTGTAGTTTTCCATGAAACTTGATGTTTCTTTAGGAATTAAGCCACATGAGACTGTTTCAATCAAAATTAACCAAAATGAAGTAAAATAAATTCAGTTTCTCAGTTGCCCTAGACACATTTCAAGTGGCAAGTGGCTCCCATACTGGATAACGTAGATAGAGAACACTTACATCATTGGACACACTGCCGGGCATCTCAAGTAGTAGAAGGGCCATGAGCTTGTTCTGGTTGTAAGATGTTATCCCTTTGTGAGGAACACTCATTGGATTTGTTTTGAGAATAATAAAGTGTTGTCTATGTATGATGGCTTGGGAAGAATCAAAGTGTATTAGAAAGGAGATCCCCATTTAGTTGTTTAGTGTCATCCTAGAAGGAGTGAAGCTGAACACAGTACTTGATGATGTCATTCAGTCCTCCTGTGCTTCTCCTGGGGAGGCTCACCAAAGGGAGACAGAACTTTGGAAGGCGGCTTGATGATATCTGAAAGTTTAATGCCTTAAGTGTTACCTTTTCGCTAGTCCTTTGAAAAGTTAGTGGGAATGTTAGTCATCCGAATAAGAAGCTGAGTAATGATGATTAACCCTGTGTCCCCAACAACCCCTCAGCAGTAAACTGAGAGGTGAGGCATCAGGGTGTGCTAATTGAAACATGCATACAGGGTCTTAACTGCCACGGCCAGTTGTCCCAAAAGAAGTTGTGATGTTTGAGATTCCACAGTAGTGATGATGTTTTCTAGGCCCTGCTTTGGGCTTGAGGTTTTCATTCTGTTTTGAATGTATTCCTGTGTCCTAGTTGAAATCCTAGGATGTAATCATTGTTAATATTACTTAAAAAATATTTTATTTATTTATTTTTTAGAAAGAGGGAAGGAGAAAAAGAGGGAGAGAAATGTCAATTGGTTACCTCTTGTAAATGCCCCAACTGGGGACCAAAGCCTCAACCTAGGCATGTGCCCTGATCTGAGATCGAACCAGAGACCTTTTCTTTTGCAGGACAATGACCAACCAGCTGAGCCATACCAGTCAGGACTAAAATTACTTTTTGATCATTTGCTTTTATTCACTTTTTAGGAAATATTGACAATCCAGGAAAAGAAGGTAATCTTGTCTACTCACTGTATAACTTCTGTGGTTTCTTAGGGCTAATTTCTAGGCTGAGAAACACAATCTGTTTTTATAGTGGCAAGTGGAGTACACATTTTAGTTCTAAATTCAACATAAATTCAGCTTCTATAAAGATGAATGTGACCTTATGGTCTAAATTCTTATTCTTCAAGGTACATAAGAAGAAAGGGCTATCACTTTGTTTTTTGAGATCTACTACAACAAGATTTGGTCCTACATTTTGATACCAGGTTTTCTTGTTGCTCTGATTCATAATTGTTTACCTAAAAAGTTTAAATTGTTCACACACAGCCCTCCCCACCCCGTCCCACCCCCATAGGAAGCTCTATATACAGCGAACTGGCTAGCACATGTGATGGAAGGTGGAAATCATATATCATATTGTTGGTGGTCTCTTACGAGGCTGTGTCTTGGACAGATCTCAGGCAGTACACTTCTAAAGCAAGAACAGAACATCACAAGGATGCAACAGAGCGTCTAGTTCACTCCATACCCCTTACCAGAGAGATGAGAGGTGAAAAAATAGTCAGGGAAGTTGAGTGACCTGTCCAAGTCCCACAGCTGATTGGGGTCAGAGGCTGAAGTAGGATTCACCTCTGCTATTTTTCCTATCCTAGACCTTTTCATTCAGTCAAGCTAAATTCTGCAACGTTTTAAAAGCTGTGACATAGGTCACTGGATACCTAGCAAACACCTCTCAGGCTGGTGCTGGGTAAGGGTGATATATTAGAATCCTATTTGCCTTTGATTGGTATTACTTTGATATAAGAATTCAACCTAAGCTTCTCTGTGGTCATTTCTGCTCTTCTGTGTGTAAATCTTTGTGACTGTTAGCATAAAAAGGATGGATTGACTTCTGACTATAGCAAATAAATCACCCCAAGTTTTGACAGCAGAGTTAGAAAAAAAAGAAAAGATTAATTGGTTTTATTTAGTGGTTTATTGTTTATTGTGATAGCTATTAAAAATAGATAACCAGAGGCTAATAAATGTTAATGGTCCCTTCACTATTAGAAAAATCTATTGTCAGTGGATATAGCATGTATTAATGTATTATTTTATTTATAATCTTCAATAACATTTAAAAAATTCACCCCTAAGATAGTGATTTCTTGATCAACTCTTTAAGGTTAATAGTTACAACCAAGAACAGATTTGGCAGGAGGACATTTTCATCTACATATAATTTTAATGACCTTCAAAGCATTATTTTATAATTATAATAAAATGCATGTGCAATTTGTCAAGATTGATAAACTCCTTATCAAGGACTCTTATATATTTCCTTGAAACCTGTTTGAGAGCAGTTAAATAGATTTCTAAATGTAAGTAATTAAAATTGTATGGTATTGAGTTATTGATCAATCCTGGACTATTAATCAAGCTAAAAAATTCTACAATCAGTGCTCAGTGTGCTGAAGTCTGGTAAAATAATAGTATTTGTGTTCAGTGAGGCAAGTAGCCACAATTAAGCACTTCACTTGACAAATGAGAGGGTACACTTTATTTTGCACTTAATTGAATTGTTGTACATGCTCGGTCACCATTGTCTTCTAGGCCTACATTTTGGCTTCTGGTCACTGGAGCTTATGTATTTGCTAAAGGTAGAACAATTAAGTCTGCTTTCGCCGTTGGCTTTCTAAGTGTAGCCAGAAACGTCTGAGCCACAAACCAGGACTTTGTGCAGGACATGAGTGCTGTTAATATCCCTCATGACAGATTCTCAATTTTCCTAACAAAAATTTTGATAAGCAAATTAGGGCCCTGTCAAAGTATGATATGAAATAGCTTCAAATAGGGAAAACTCCCCAGGTTTTATATCACTCAGCAGACTCTGCTTAAGTAAGCTGAAGAACTTCTGTAGATGAAATAGAATTTTAATCATTTTATGAAAACCAAAAATTGGTTTAATTCTCATGAGATGAGAAGAATGTTGTCTGAAAATCTTGCTAATTATCAGGTATCTGTCACAACTTCCTTCCATTTGTTTTTGCATCGCAGCCATCCTTCTGCAAGCACGGGGACGTCCCGTCGTTTCTGCACTGCTGTAGATCAGTACTTTTTACCAGATTAAACTGGGGAGCTGACGTTCAAGAAAAAGGCCCAATTTATCCAATGGATAAATATTACTCTGGGTGGTGGGGAGAGTAAGTAGAATTCGGGATTTATTTTACAAAGAAATAAATCTGGGTGCTTACCTGTGTTCATCTGCGCTGTATCAGACAGCTCCAAGTTGAGGTTGTGCTATAGACAGATCCCAACACAGTTTAGTATTTATTAAAACACACATGCAGCTTGCTGACTTGCCTGTATTTTACCTGGCACTTAGCATAAGATCCAAATGTGCAGGGGTGTCCAACCTTTTGGCATCTCTGGGCCACACGGGAAGAAGAGCTGTCTTGGGCCACACATTAATTACACGAACAATAATGAAAACAAAAAATCTTATAATGTTTTAAGTAAACTTACGATTTCGTGTTGGTCCACATCCATAGCCATCCTGGGCTGCATGTGTCCCATAGGCTGTGGGTTGGACACCCCTGCTAGAATAATCTTGGAATCAAGAGTTTATTTCCTGTGAGGAAAGTTTATCCTGTTTCCTGAACTGACATAGATAATAAGGACCGCTTCCCCTGCCCCAGAGGATTTTTGTAAAGATTAAACTAGATAAGTGATTTTAAACCCCTTTGAAAAGTTAAAAGTGCTATGGAATTATGAGAGTCAATTATATATTTTTCTCTTGTAACATTCCAGTTAACCAAGTCTGTACTTTCCATGTCCCCCCAAATACATTAATATATGCCTGGGGGAGGGGATAGAAACAAGAAAGCAGGGGTTCTTGAAATGGTAAAGCTATTACCAGAAAAAAAAATTGTTTGGGAACCAATGTCTCAACAGTTCTATGAATTTTGTTCCTATGGCAGCAAGTAAGGTAATGGGAACCCAGTGGCCAAAGAACTATGCCAAACAAAAAATGTCAACGAAAAGTGGTGGCCTTTGTCTCATGATGCTGACCTGCACTGACCAACAGAGCAAATAATGACTAGGCAGTCTCTTTATTTGTTTCAGACCCTACCAATGCGGGCACTGCTCCCAGTCCTTTTCCCAGCCTTCAGAACTGAGGAACCACGTGGTCACTCACTCTAGTGACCGGCCTTTCAAGTGCGGCTACTGTGGCCGTGCCTTTGCAGGGGCCACCACGCTCAACAACCACATCCGAACCCACACTGGAGAAAAGCCCTTCAAGTAAGTATGACTGACCTTTCACCCCATCTTCCTCCTAGCTTTTTCCGTGAGCTGGCAAACGGGTTGGAGCCATGCTGCCCAGCTCAGCCAGGAAGGCCGACGTCCAGGCTGCAAAAGGACCTACTTGTTTAGTGGCTGGCCTTTGGAAAATGAAGTCAGGAAACCCATACATTGATTCTCACTTGAACTGTTCAGCCTTGGACATGAGATAATCTTTCTGGGTCTGTTTTTTCATCATAACATAAAGAAGTAGGAGTAAGTCGTTTTAAGATTCTTCCTGGTTCCTGAAGACCTGATGGCAAGCCCATGGCCATTGGCAGGGTGGCCACAACTTAGGACATCTCTTGAGGAACTTGAACCCTGTAGGATTCTGGTGAACTGTTCCCCTCCTCTTTCCCTGTGTGTTAAAGAGGTTTGAATCTATTATAACAGCCAACTTGCAACTTTTCCATGTGCCTTTTGAATCTCAGAATTATTATGTTGATAAAAAAAGAAAAACAAAACGAACACAGAGCATGTCTGAATTGTCAAAGATTCAGGGAATGTGGAAAGAGGTGGAACTGAATTCCAAGGGCTTTGGCTGACCATTCAAGCACATTTCTAGATATAGCACAACCATGAAAGGATTGGACATCTGAATGATGCAAGGTGGCCTATTCACTTACTCATTCACTCACTCATTCATTCACTCATTCATTTAGGCATGTGTTCATTCATTCAGCAAGTATTTACTGAGCACCTTCTTTCATACTAGGCCCCCAAGTCTTTGAAGACTTCATAGTTTATGGGGAAGCCCAGTTGATAAACAAGTATTCACACATAGGGTGAAAGGTGCAGAAGTGAAATACAATAAGGCACGTATGTACAGTGTCTCAGAGTATCACAGAAGTGGAGCAATCCATGCCATCTGGAGGAGATGATGTCTGCAGTTTTTTTCCTCCTAAATTTTATTTTTCAGTTACAGTTTATATTTAGTGTTATTTTGTTTTAGTTGCATGTATACAGCATAGCGATTAGATAATCACATACTTTACAAAGTGATTCACCCCCGTATTTCCAGTACCCACCTGGCCCCATGCATAGTTGTTACAATAGTATTGCCTCTATCACCTGTGCTGCACTTGGCATCCCCATGACTGTCTGTAACTACCAATTTTCAGTTCTTAATCCCTTCACTTTTTTGACCCAGCTCCCCAACACCTTTCCCCTCTGGCAGCCATTAGTTTGTTCTCTTCGTCTATGAGTCTGTTTCTGTTTTGTTTGTTTTATTTTGTTTCTAAGATGTGTTTTGAAGGATAAGCAGGAGTTTTCCAGGCATACAAAGGACCATTCTGACAGTCCACGCACATTTGTGAAGTAGTGTGTAGTATGTCGTGGTAGTACTAGTAGTAGTAGTATGTATGACTGGTTGGTCATCTCAAAACCATTTCCCCTGTCTGTGACACGGACTCTTTTCCGTTCAGCCCTCTTACATCTCCCTTTACTTGTTTACCATGCTGGCTTTCCCCTAGTTAAGAAGGAAAATAAAAAAAGGCATAGAGGTATAGCCTGTTTACCTGCTGTAGGACAAGATCAAGCAAGAAAGATAATGATCCAGGCAGTAGGAGACAAATCCCCTTGCTCAGTATCCGCCAACGTGTCTTCCCAGACTCTCATTACCCCTGAGTTTCCCTTTGGACCTCCAGGCGTGGCTGTTGCCATGGTGCTCAGGCTGAGACCAGGCTGGGCCAGGGGATTGCAGGGTCCTGCTGGTCTGGATCCTGCCACCTCTTCTCTGCCAACAGAGGAGGGAGCTTATAAAAGGCTGTCTTATTCATTCACCTCCCTGAATGAGTGAATTAGTTACCTTTCTTCATTATTCTTAACTGTTTTTCATTGTGGTTTAACTTATGATACGAATAAAAATAGTTTTCATTTTCATCTTTGTCCATGCGTGCAGCTTGTTCACTGCATAAAGACATCTGGCTATGGAGACTGCATGGGTTCTAAAATTGAGCCTGCATTAATGCCAGCCAGCTGTGACCTCTGGGTCTGAGGTAGCCCAAAGGGGCCACTGTTTTTAATTCATGCTAAGGGGCAGATGGGTTAGCACAGCAGTAGAGTTCCCTAATGCAGGTGTTTGTGTCCTACAAGGTGGACTCTCTCCTTGCCCTAAGGTCTGATTATCAGGGGGTTCCCAGATTCTGGCCTCCCCATCGCTCTGGGTGTGGGAGATGACAATGGCACCTTTCCCTGGGAGCGCTTGAGCAAGAGAGCTTTTTAAAAGAGTTGCAGGACTGACATTCCTTCTGGCCCTTATATTAGAGAGGGCAGCCAGCTAGACACAGTGCCAGGGATCAGATTGATTTTTATCTTGTTGCTGTGTAAATAGATTTTAGTAATTAATTGAAGAGGTTTCAGGGTCAAAATGGGAAATAGATTTCTATTAATGTTAAGGTGTTACTTATGTGTAACCTCGTTGACTCCACTCAATTTTTTTTCTTTAACACCCTGTTTTTGTCATGTTTCCAATAGAGTTGCCATTTTAACTTACTTTTAATTCATCAGATTACTGTTTTGAAGGGCTTTAGCAATTTTATCTTTCTCCTTTCTAAAAGTATGCTTTTGTGACCATAACCTAATTTCATGTGGGGAGAAAAATGAGCAAAGAACCAGAGTTGGCTGGATTAGATTCTATGTGCATATTTTAATTTCTTCTGCCTCTACTTTTATTAAGATTAGCCACGTGCTGTAGGGTTGTGTTTTCTTTTTTTTTTTAATTTATCAAATATATATTCCTGGGGTAGAACTGAGTGTACGCTTATTTTATAAGTGCAAGATTTTAACATATTCTAGGAAATGGAAAGCCAAACCTTTAGTGTATACAAACAGATAGGTTAGGATTGAACTGTCCCAAAGGGAGTTTTGGGAATCTTCCAACCATAGTTCATGGATATATTTACATCCCATGGACATTTGTAAATATTATGAAGATATCCTTTTACAAGATTATAAGACAAACATTCAAAAAAACTTTTGTTGCAGATTAGTCAATAAAATGGGTTTCACCACAACAGTTAACTTTACTGCTTCAACTAATGGGTATCGGCTTAAACAACGTCGCAAAGAAAGAAAAGAATCTTGTAAAAGATGTACAACCCTAAACTATCCACATTGAGCAGCTTCCAAATAGATGCCCCAAATGGTTCAGTCCCCAAATTCTCAGGGACCAGGCGAGATTGAGCCTGTCACATCTTTCCAGTCTCTTAAATCTTCTGCTGAGACATGGTTTTTGAAGGCAGATCAAGACTGTTGCCATCCAGAGAAAGCTGGGGAAGATTTGTCATTAAGAGATCAGTTACATTCCAGGCTCTGCCTCACAGTCTCATGGGCTGACTTCCCACTGAATGACTCCATCCTGCAAGGTTTAGGTAGGTCCTGTGCCTGTCAGTAACTAACTTGACTGTAGGCTTAGGATTTCGAAGGTAAAGGAGCATGTAGGAAAAAATGCACATCAAGGAATATATTTAAGGTTTTGGCTTTCAGTTGTACTGTGAGCCTGGATGTCACAGAGAGCAAGGAACAAAAACAAGAAATTTCATGTAACAGCAATTGCCAAGTACTTGGTTGAAAAAAGGAAGGAAGAAAGGAAGGGAGGAAGGGAGGGAGGGAGGGAAGAGAGAGGGAAGGAATAAAGAAGGAAATTGGCAGTCTAAATCTTATTCTTCACAATGAAAAATCCTTGCTCCTTCCCTATTACTGAACGTGATCTTTCAGGATTTTTAGGGCCGTTGCTCTCCCTGGCTGGACCCACGTGAGCCGCTTCACGCTTGGCTTCTGTGTGTGGGAAGAACAGGACTTGCCATGGCAGAGGTTCTTCTCTTCATCTGTTAGAAGCAGGGAGAATACTCATCACTGCATTTTGCCTTAAGTAAAGACAGTTTGGCGCAGTATAAAAAAAAAATCAAAGGATATTCTAGAGAACATCTAAAGTTTAATAAGATCTAGGCAAAATCAAAGCAAATTAAAAAAGCACATCAGGAAATATGCATGGAGCACATCATATGTATGAAGCCCTGTGCAGTTTAGTTCAATTCAAGTGTTTTTTGACAGCTTGTAGAGGCACAGAAAGTAACAGAACTTGACCTTATTTTGCATCTCTGTCAATTTCAGATGGTAATTGTTAAACTCCCTGTCCTATAATCCAGTCAACCATCACAGTAAGTAAAGAATGATCTCAAATCTAAAAGGAAATCAAATCTAATTAAAATACCCACACTGGTAGAAAGTTGGGGACTTTCTCTTTGCTGAAATGTTTCGCCGACTTTCCACTTCACTGTTCCTGCGATGTTCCGTTGAAGGCTGTGACGTCATCGCCATGAAGAGGACCCCGTGAGCGAGAGCATTTCTTTGCTCCCAGCTCATTACCTGCATCTTTCTCTCCTCCTTATTCTGCTCCCCTGCATGAAGTCCAGGCTTAGCGGTACCCGTGTGCATTCCTTTTTCTGGGATCGTGGTTCAGGGTTAAATGCCAACCCAGCTGACATCCAGATCTGATCGCTAGCACCTACGTATTTGCCTAGGTATTGAGTCTGTCCTTCTGATGAGTGTTATTAAGCTATGAAAATAACTTGTGAAGGAAATTTTTCTAAAATTAAAGGTGATATACATAAAACTGAGGTCCTTCCTTTATTTAAAAAATATTTTTATATCTAGCTCTCTTTACTTCCTCATTAATACAAATTATGTTCCTCTAATTCCCAGACCATATAGATGTTTCTAGTAGCCTGGTTTTGCATATGTTTTTACTCATACTTGATGGCAGATGACACTAAAGATGAATTTTCAGTAATGATCTCATGCCACAGTTAGATCTGACTTAGTAGTTTCCTAACTATTACAACAAATTTTTCCATGAGTAAATATCTGTGAGGCATTTAGGCAAACACTTGAGAAAAAAATGTAACTCTCTTTTTAATGTCTCTGTCCAATCTGGATGTTTAAATATTACATATACATGTACACTTTGCCTTCTGTGAAGCATGAAACTTCCTACTTTTGAATTCTTTATATTCTAATATGTAAGGTTAGAAGTGCAAAAAACGTGACCCAGGTAAATTGCCATTCCTCATAATTATTCACACTGTTCTGCTGTCATTGGAATTGATTCTAGGGCTTTGAAATAAAAAAAAGAGGAATATAATAATTTGAAAGTTTGTCAAGCAGTGAAAGGTAGTATATTTTGACACACTAATCCAGTAACTAATCAGTTTTCGAATAAACAATCAGCAATTCACTAACATGTCATCAGCACCTCAGGAGCTCCAGAGAGGGGATGAGCTGCCCATGGACGTTAATGAATACACCAAAAATCATTACCTGATCAATACTTCTGAGTTATTTTCATTGAGCTGATAGGTCTGATACATTAAAGCTGACATTATACATTTGTCAAGATCACAGTGCAGTTTTTAACAGTGGAACAGGCCGCTAAAAATATTCCCTGAAAGACAATCAAAGAAACACAGCTTCTTCACCCTGACACACTCAGTTGGCACAGAGCCCTGAAAGAGCCAAGCCTGGTGGTCAAGCGCCGGCCCCCCTACATTCAGAAATGTGCAAGAATCTCTGGAGTGGGTAGATGTGTTCTGTTTTGATAGGTAATTATTTCAATGGCAAGGGACTTTGCATAATTTACTCAAAAGGAGAGAGGACTGCTCACTAGATAACAAGAAATGGGCACATGATTTTTGCCACATGCCCAATGGCGCCCAATAGTGCGGTGACTCGGGACCAGAGGTTGTTATTTATTTATTATAAATTTCTGTTGTTGTTTTTGGGGGGGTTTAAAATTTATTTATTTTTAGAGAGATGGGAAAAGAGGGAGAAAGAGAGGGTGAGACGCATCAATGTGCATTTGCCTTTGCATGCCCCCTACTGGGAACCGGGCCCTCAACCCAGGCATGTGCCCTGACTGGGAATTGAACCAGCGACCTTTGGTTTGTAGGCTGGCGCTCAATCCACTGAGCCACACCAGCCAGGGCAGGTTGTGTTATTTAAAACAGAGACTGTGGTCTGCAGCTCTTCTGAATATATTTCCCTTCAAAGGTTTGAAGAGAGGATGTTAAGGGGATGGATGCAGTGGTCGCTGCACCCCAGAGGGTGCACGGCCAGTGCTGTGGGCAGCCCAGACAAGCAATGTAGTGACAGGGAAGTCCCTGTGCCCTGGTTGCTGTCACAGTGTGTGTGTGTGTGTGTGTGTACTGTAGATTGAATAACCATCAAGTTAGTAAATGTGTGTTGCCTGGGAGATAGGTCAGGCCCCGTGTTTCTAGATTACAATCCTTTTTTTTTCTTTTTAGGAGAGGAGCTACTCTTAAAGTGTGAAACCAGTTTCCCCTTCATCATACACTATCCCTTAATTATCGCTCACAGGGACGTTATTTCACTGTACTTTCTGAAAGGGGGAACTTCTTGAACAACACAAACATTGGTTTTATTTCAGATTTTTTGACCCCCTACCCAACCACAAACACTGTTTTAATCCTAGGTTTGGTTGGGCTGTGATACTGTAACAAAACTTTTGCACAAAAGCAACTACCCACACGCACCCTGCATAGTCACCGCAAACTAATGTATTGCTTCCTCTGGTTTCCAAATTCCGAGATGATCGCTCCTTGGCTGCTGTTTTGAGGAGAGTAGAATTCCTGATTTTAAATTAGCAGCAGGTGAAATTCTATTTGTCATCAATTTCTCTTTCGGGTTACGGAGCAGAAAACTGCAGACAAGCTGCTGCTTTGATGGCTCACTCCTAAAAATCTCTTTTTGTTCTTTATCTATTTGAACTGACAGTGATCAGAGCTGCAGCAGGACAGGGCCCTCTGGAGAAATCACCTTCCCCTGCCTATTGACAGATCCCTCTGTTCTGCATCAGACGGGCTTTGTCCCGTCACAGGCATCCAGGCCTTGGAAGGAGCCACCAATTAAACCACTTGAGCCGGGAAAATCTGAAGCCACTTTGGAGTGTCTGTTCTGATTAGGCAGGATGAGAGGACGCCCATCACCCTGCAGGCCCCGCTCCCTGGTCTCAATTTTCTCTCTTGCCTCCACCAGGTGCGAGAGGTGTGAGAGGAGCTTCACGCAGGCCACCCAGCTGAGCCGACACCAGAGGATGCCCAATGAGTGCAAGCCAATAACTGAGAGCCCCGAATCAATCGAAGTGGATTAACTGATTGACTGGTTGGAATTAAACTGCAAGGAAAGTCATGATTAAATGTCACGGACACTTAAGCAAAACCAAAGATTTCCTCTGAGCAACTTTCAATCAGTCCCAGAAAACCAAAAGCAGTAATAAAATAAGTAAGATGTTAAGAGATATTGATCCTGGCATGGAAGTCAGACCAGGAAAAAGATTATTTATTTATGATTAGGGATTAGACTTATTTCAGTGGACAACTGACCTGGGATGGCCAACATTTCCAGTACCACCACGTGTTTGCTTTGTTTCTAAAAAGCTTTTTTAAAACTGTTATTTAATACCAAAGGGAGGAATCACATGGGTTCTTCTGCCCACAGTTGTGACTAAGAATGCACACACAGGGACTTGTTTCTCGTTGCACCTTTTTCGAGTAGCATGATTCAAGGGGACCCATTGTACAGCCCTTCTTCCTGCTGTTTCAGTTTGGCCGTGGCCTGGTGCGGGCTGCCCGGCAGGGACCGCGGAAGCAGAAGCAAGAGCCTTCGCTCGGCCAGTGCCGTGCTCAGCCCCACGGGCATTCCATTTCTGTTTTCCACGCTCACTCCTCATGCACTTTTCACGTGGCTCCTTCCATCCAGCCGCCTGGTCTCGATGCAGAAGAGCCTGGAAGTGGAAGAAAATGGTTTAAATTTCAAAATTCAAGGGAAAAAAAAATGGGGGACTTACCTTGTCCCATTTCAAAAACATTTACAATGTACGGAGCTTCATAATACAGTATATTGTTCTGAAGCAGCTAGTTGAGAAAATTTTGTTTTCAATAACATTTTAGCTTAAAAAAAAAATAAAAGTTCTTTGGTATGAGGCTGAATATAAGGTATTAGGCTTCAAGTAATTTTTTTTGTTGTGTCTGTGAAAGTCTTGAATATGTGAGCAAAAATAGTGCCAAGCCCCATTGTCAAGTCCCTTTTAAGCAGTTTCCTTTTCTTTCCTCATATAGGTGAAGCCAGGGAGGCCCTCCTGAGTATTCAGTGAGCATTTCTGCAAAAATAGGTGAAAGTAACCTACACAAGGAAACACTGAGAAGAGGAGCCATGGAGAGGGTTGTGGTTAGAACAGGCTGCCCAGGAACAGCTAATTTTTCGATAGGACTTACCTTTTCGTCTCCTGTGGCCTTTGATAATATTCTTCTCTCAGCTGCGATCCATTGAAACAAAGAATTATGTTCACAGTTGCGCTGTTCTTTGATTGACTGCTAGGAAAAGAGTTTAACTTTAGTGAGTCCTCTGGTAGTTCAGTGATGATGCTCAATAAAATTGGGTCACACTGTGAAACGATTCACTTCAGGAGGAAACAACGGCTACTGCACTATTGTCCCTGAGGTCACAGCAGCATCTCAGTGACTGAGCCTACCTTGATGGCCACTGTAGATAAAACTGTTTTATCTAGAATGCTAACTTAACAGCAACAAACCTCTCTTTGTAGATTTTTTGGTGACCTGATAACAAAGCATCGCCTTCTAAGGAACTCCTTGTCTTTTACCCTCCCCAGTGTCTTCCCTCATCAAAAATAATGAGACACATCACCGAACTAATCACTGAAAGGAAGGGGACTGCGGGGTTCAGTTTAATGGATCATCACATATTTGGTTCTCAGAAAAATCTTCCTCCCCTTTTAATTTTGCTTCCTTATCCCTTAGTGTCACTGACACATTCAAAATGGAGTCAAACAGGGCTTCGCTAATTGTGTTTGTAATTCATTTATATATATATAAAATATATATATATATATATATATATATATATATATATATATATATGATTATAAGCCCCAAAGAGGAGCTTGGCTAATTCTGACCTCCATTGTCCTATCTCAAGTCATTTACCTACAACTTTTTCCCAATTCTTGTTGGCTTCTTGTCATGCAAGTAGTAAGCTCTCTGTACTGCTATTTAACGTTGCTGATTGAAAGTATTCTTTCTAGTAGACAGGAATGTGTTCTGATTTTACCATTCCTTGCCCGAGGTGATGGAGGTATTTGCCAACAACGTGTGACAGTGGGAAGGGTGGAAAGAGTATGTAGCCACATCAGCCCCAAACCTGCAAGACAGTGATGGATCGGCTACACAGATGAGCGAGCTGTTCCATTTACTAATGTTGAAACACTTGCTTGTACATTTTTAAAACAGTAAGGGACTTACCTGCATGTTTCTGATACATTTTTTTTCTGCAAGAAAAATTAGTTCAGTCATTTGCCTCACTTCATAACTGAGCACAATGCATCCTACTCAGTTTTCATGGGTCTCCCCCCATGCAAGAAAGTGACGGCCTGGGATGGCCAACATTTCCAGTACCACTATGTGTTTGCTTTGTTTCTAAAAAGGTTTAGAAACAAAGCTTTGCTCTCGATATCCGGCACCAGAGAGGTTTTCATAACAATGGTCTCTGCCGCTCTAATGGCTTTGCCAGCTGATCCCAAACTTTCACTTAATATGGCAGTAACCTCTGTACCAAAAGATTCTTTCAGCCTTCCGGTCCATTGAAGTTTGTTTCTCTCCTTTATTATTGGGAGAAATTTTTGGCATGTATTGTCCACCAAATTTGGTTAAAAAATATTTTCTACTTAATAAATAGAAAATTGGGTACATTCACAATTTTCACATTGCTGAGCCATTGCCAGATTCTAGCAGACCAACCTAGGCCATCTGCCCATAAGACAGGCCTACACCTGCAAATGGACTTGGAGCCTCGAAGTAGGTACTGAGATCATTGGAGTCCCAAATGCTTTTACTTGAAGTATGTTCCAGGGAGGGGGTTTTCTTTAAAACCTCCCCAAAATCGCTTTAGCCTTCTCTATGTAAAATCAACAGATATTCCCTTGGAACACTGTAAGTGGTTGTAAAAACTGCAGTTATAAAGATTTAATGGTCTCCCTTACTAGCAACCTCCTAATGAATCATGGTATAAAGAGAATAAAAGCTCTGAATCATTGAGCCAAGGGGGAGACAGCCACAATGAGAAGGAGAGACTACCAGAGCTGAGTCAGTTTTTGGCTCATGAAGCAATCTCTCTTTGCCCTTCTCTATCAATGGAGGCAGTTTTTTTTTTTTCCTCCCCAGAGTCAGACTTACCATCACAGTACATGTTCATTGGTCTAGCTATGTGTCTACACCAAAGGCTAATGTCACTTAAAAGTCGAGGTACACAAGATTAAGCGTGGGGCTGCAGGCATCACATTTCTAAAATATCCCAATAACCTTGCACAAACCTGAAGATTTTCCCTAGGAAATGCACAGGATTTCTTAAGATAAGCTTTTCATTTTGATTGTCACCGTTGTTGAAAATGACTATTTTCAGGGTACCTATGCTTTTATAGACTTACTGTGTGGGTAATTAAAGCTGTAAAACTAAATCTTTTGTAATTTATATAATTTGATCCAATTAGTAAATATTTACTGCATGTCTTTTCAACTGGAATCTTATGGGGAAACTGCCTTTTTTTAATAACATAAAAAGATTATGACACAATTTCTGTCCTCACAGGGCTTACAATTTATTGGATTATAACTTGGAAAAATTTCATTCTAGTCCAGATATGCAAAGATTTACAAACATGTACCAACTACCCAATTTCTTCATCAATCAGTTGGTTCATTTTTTAACAATTTACTCAAGAAGAATTTGTTGAATTCTTGTTTGTGTAAGATCCCATATTAGGTGTTCACTATCAAGCAGCATTACTTAAATGACTATTGGTGAGAAAATAAATTTCCCCTCATCAGTGGCAGGCTAGTTGCATGGGTATTTTCATCCTAAGACCATTGTCTCCGTGAAGTTTTATGACCCTATTCCAGTGATAAGGCAACAAATGGGGACAGGGCTGGATTTGCTCAGGGAAAGAACATCACCCTCCAAGGCCCCAGGTCTCTGGTACATCATTGCAAAACTAATTGCTGGTCACTGGTTATCAGGGTTGTTCATGTAAAAAACTAATATTTTATTGCTTTTCATATTAGAAGTAGCTTTATAACTACATTTGTTTTGCATGAATTTAAAAAAATTAAATGCACATATCTGTTGAATTGTTTAAAATGGGGAACATGGCACAAAACAGGGAGCAGCCTGGGGTCAATGGGTCGCCCTGAGCCGACCCAGCAGCCTCATGTTTAGGAGCAAATCCGTCGTTCTCATGTTAAGACTGTGTATGCCTGCGGACACCAGGCCAGGGATAACAAACTAAAGAAGCACATTTTCAAAACAGAAAAAAAAGTTTCTATTTTCCTTCCTTCCTGTGAATTTCATTTCATTTCCCACAGCCTTTACTAATTCCTGACAGCAAATCTGGAAAGAGACTAAGAGATGTGCTTCTTTAAGTGATATCAGTAGGTTCCAGAAATGTCGTTCGTCTGTCAGGATCCTTTCAAGGTGAAAATGTTTGGAGACATTTTACGAAGTGACTGGATGTTTGGGTACTTATCTGCCCACGAGTCTGAGGCTTTCCGATCACTAACACTTATCTGAACTACCGCAAAACAGCAAGTGGAGTCCTGGGAAGAGCCGCATGTTTCAGGCCTTCACAAGATTAAATTCTACCAACCTAGTGATCAGCTGTCGAGTACAACTGAGCAGAGAGAGACAAACTGAAAATATATTGCTTTATCTGTGGAAGCTTTGCCACAGATGTTTAGCCTGTAATCCACGGATGCGTTTAACATTTAAAATATTTATTTCGTTTCTTATTTTAAGTAATGAATGTCAGCTGTTTCATCAGATCAATATGAAAAATGATTAAACATGTCAGTCAGAAAACACAGCAAAGACATAAAACTATTGAATTGTCTTCTTATATATTGAGAAACTACCATTGTATTTAGAATTACGAAAGGGTCTGTTGAGATTTTAATGGAAAAATAAAGTCTGAGCTTATTCCCTGAGTTGTAGGGGGGAATGGTAATAATGATAGCAACTTATACTGTGCAATTACTGTCAGGCACTGTTTTAACTGCTTTACATGGATTATTTAACCCTCAGTTA